AGCCTGACCGGATTGTTAAAAAGTCTGACCGGTTTGATGGAGAGTCAAGATAATGATTGGATAGTTGGATATAATTCAGGAATAATCACCGGATAAGTAAATTGAAGTAGCAACGGGATAGTCCAAGTGATGCAGAAGTAATGATTAGATAGAAGAGTTTTCTTTTAAATTTTTCTAAAATTCTTTTAAAATTTCATTTTACCACTAATCAAATTGATAATTTTGAATTCTTTTAAAATTTCATTTCATCTCTAATCAAATTGATAATTTTGAACAGATGATAATTGATAAACAAAATTGGCAAAATCAATAAGAGAAGTTTTTTCTTACAAGTTCATTTACTTATTAAATAAACATTTCAAAATTTTTTGACTATTTACATATTTGTTATTGTTTTTGATTATTTTTTTAATTAACTTAATTATATTACTTGTATGCCTGTTTATTGCATTAAATCTTTGAAAGATAAAAGTTTTATTAAAAATTTTATTAAAATTTGATAATGTTACAATAAAAAAATTTGTTTCAACTTCAATTTTTTTCCAATTCTAAATTTTAATTACAATAATTTTATTTCTATTTTGTTGCAATCATATTATTAATTAATATTATAACATTATCATAATTTTTTTTTCAAGCAAATATTTTATTACTTTAATGCTTAAACATTCCTATCGATCGACAATAATAAATTTAATTTTTCAAATTAAATTTATCATTCAATCATTTTTGAAATTATATTATCAAATTGAAAAAAAAAAAAATTTCAGAAAAAAAGATTTTTCCATGTTTCTTTTTTCATTTAGTAATTTATTTTACGTCATTTTTTCAACTTTTCTCTCAAAATATTTCATTCCGATTTTTCATTTTTCTTTTTTTTTTTTTTTACTATTTAAATTAATGCATTTTCATATATTTTCTTTTCTTTTCTTTTTTCCTTTTCCTTTTTTTTGGCGGAAAGATCCATTTATTTTGTAAACATTTGCGCTTCATTCATTCTTTATCTCATCTAATTATTTCAAACAAAACTAATACTTTAGTAACAAGAAAAAAATGAACACAACTATACAAATGATTGTTGTATTTAAAAATTTTTTGCGACATCCTGAAATTGTCTAAAAATCGGCAATCTTTATCAGTAATAGAAACTACTCAATCATCCGGAATTCCTGATTAGAAAGTTTTTTTTTTTTTGTTTTTTTTACAAAAAACTTTTTTTTTTTTGTCATTTTAAAAAAAGGACACATGCATACATCACAAATAGCAAAATTCTCTCATAATTTTTTCCCTTTTTTTTTGGTTAGCAATGAAATGAAGAAGAAAAATTTGCCATTTAATGCTTATTCCTTTCCTAATTTCAGTTTTTTTTATTTATTTTTTTTTTAAAAGCTTCTTCTTGCTATATTGTATTGTTACATTGATATATTGGTATGTTCCATAAATGAAAAATTCATAAATTTAAAGCTTAACGAAAAAGAAAAACGAAATTTCGTTCTTTTTTTTCTTCAATTTTAATTGTTACAAATAAAGTTACAATACACATTAATAAAATATAATTATAATTTTAAACTATTTATATTAGAAAATTAAAACAAAAAGTTCATTTTGAGTTCAACATTATATCTACAATAATAATTTCAATTTAATTCATTTCCATCTCGTTTTTTTTTTTCTCTTTTTATGAATTAGTTTGTAAATTTAGTTGAAAAAAATTTTTTATTTTTGCTAAACATTAAGCAATTTTAATTCGATTATTTTATTTTTAATTAATTTACCATTCTTTTATTATCTGTGCTTTATTGTATTTTTCAATTAAAAAACTACATGCGAACAACAAAATTTAAACAAACTAATTTTTTTAATTTCATTTCTTATTTGGCATACTTATATATGGAAAAAAAAAGGAAACAAAAAAATGGAATTAATTTGGAAAAAATTTTTATCGTTTTTTTTTTTTTTTTATGCATACAATAAATTTTAACAACAAAATTGAAAAATAATTAAATTCTTTCTTTGAACTAAATGAAACATTTAATTATTTAGAAGCGATAGAGCAAAAATTAAAGATAATCGATTACTTGAATTCATTAATTTATTTTATTTCATTTATTTTTAATTTCGTTTTTCTCATTTTTTCAAAGAATTAATATTTATCGCTGCTTTTTCTATCAAATTTGCTATGATTAATTAATAAGAAAATAATTTTCTTTTTTAAAACAATCATTTTCCATTTCATTTTCCTATTTTGATACATTCATTTGTACAAAAACAAAAACAAAAAAAAAAACAAAAAAGAAAAAAAAATTGAAATAATTTTTTTAAGAAAATATTTGTTATAATTTATAAAAAACATTTTTTCTTTTTTGAACAAGTACTATCAAATTATATATTTAAATAAAGTGTGAAATAATTTTCCTTAATATTTTAAAACTTTTAAGAAAAAATATTTTAAATATTTTTAAAAAGAAATCATTAATTTAATTTATGAAAAAAAACATTGTTACAACTTTATGGTTATTTCCTATTTTGATACACTGTTTGATATTGAAATTTCAATATTTTTAGATATAATTATGCAAACTTCCTTAATTTGAGTTAAATTAGCAATTATGAATAAAGATTAAAAACCAATTTTAGTTTTTTCTTCTGAAAAATTCAAAAAAAAATTTTTGTTTTTATTGAATTTATTAATTTTAGTAAACATAATATTATCGTTGTTAGTCAAATATAGCTAGAATTATTTTTGCTTATTAAATTTTAAAAAAAAAAAAAAAAATTCAATTCAAAATTTAAGAAGAAAATTTTATTTGATTATTTTTTAAATTTATTTTGCTATAAATTTCATAATATTCGTTATATTATTATGATAAAAATTTTCCAATATTTCTATTAATTTCATTGATTGATTGTCTATTGATTTTCAGAGATTTTTATTTATTTCTATTGATCACGTTGAAATCATTAATTTCTTTAATTAATTTCCATTGATTTCATTAATTTTAATCGTATTTGTTGATCTTTTCTTGTTTCATTAATTTTTAATGGTTTGATTTATTTTTAATGATTAACAATAATGGTATTATATTCAAATAATTGGTTATCACTTATCATCTAATACGAGAAAATAATTTGTATAAGGGAAATGATCGAAGAGAAGGTGACTGGATAGATGATTAGCTAAGAAATGGTAGGATAGAAGATGATCGTTAGAAAATGATCGAACAGATGATCGGGTAAGAAATGATCGGACAGAAGATGATCTTAGAAAATGATCGAACAGGTGATCGGGTAAGAAATGATCGGACAGAAGATGATCTTAGAAAATGATCGAACAGGTGATCGGGTAAGAAATGATCGGACAGAAGATGATCTTAGAAAATGATCGAACAGGTGATCGGCTAAGAAATGATCGGATAGAAGGTGATCGGATAGGAAATGATCGGTTAGATGATCGGATAGGAAATGATCAAGTAGGTGATCGGCTAAGAAATGGATCGGTTAGATGATCGGATAGAAAATGATCAAATGGGTGATCGGCTAAGAAATGATCGGATAGATGATCGGATAGGAAATGATCAAGTAGGTGATCGGCTAAGAAATGATCGGTTAGATGATCGGATAGGGAATGATCAAGTAGGTGATCGGCTAAGAAATGATCGGATAGAAGGTGGTCAGTCAGGAAATGATCGGATAGGAAATCGTCTGGTAGGAAATTGTCGGATAATAGATGAATATCAAAGGGAATAGTTGTTAGACAGACATTTTTAATGAAATAAAGATTTCACCGGAAGTCTCGCGTTTCTTTCCATTCAGTAAATGCAATATTGCAGTGAAATGAATTTTTTTTTTTAAGAAACATCTTTTTAAGAGAAAGAAACTGTAAAAAAATGATATATCTTTATTGCATATTATTTATTTAAAATATATTCAATAATTAATAAATATTTCTTGAAAAAAAAAAGAAATCAAAATGTACAATATGTAAAATTATATTCAAATATTAAATTATAATATTAAAATTAATTTAAAAAATTATATAATAAATCTTTTTCATTTTGTTTAATTTTTCTTGAAAAAAAAAAAAAAAAAAAAGACGAAAAATTAAAAATTAAATGAAAAAAAAGCACAAAAATGACTGATAAGCGTTATTTAATTGCAGAAATAAGAATGAATTAAATAAAATAAAAATCAATAGCAAAATAATAAAAATAAAATAAATAAATAAATATGAAAAATATATTTTTTTTTTGTCAGTTATTCAGTCTTTTTTTTTTTATTTACTTTACACTATTTAGGCTTTTTATAGAATCTTTCATGTAAGAGTTAAGGCCAATAAACAATCTGTCAAACGGTTAATAGGCTTATTTTCTGAATGATTGTTCTTCTGAAAATGGGAAAATGCAAGTGAGAAATTGAAAATGGTGAGTAGATTGAATTGATAGAGAGAACCACCGATGATTGATTCCTATTTCTACAACTATTATCCTTGGCTCCTTAAAATGTGCCTTATTACTATCAATAAAATTGGCTCTTTATATTGTTTATTTGTTAGAAAAAAAAAAAAAAATAAATAGTAATTTCTTTCATTCTTTTAATGAATTTTTCTTTTTCTTTCCTTTTTTTTTTACATTTTTTATTTAAATATATTTTTTTATTTTAATTATTATCCTTAAAATTTCATTTTTTTTTTTTTTTAAAAAAAGATTCAAATATTATTTCATTATAACATTAGCGTATTTTCATATTTTTTTTACTTTTTTTTTTCATTTTGATTAAAAATTATTCTTTTCTTTTTCATTTTTATTTTTTCTCAATAAAAAAAAAAAAAAAAAAGCGGAAAATTTTGAAAAATTTTTAGCTTTTCATTGTAAGCTTAGTTTAATTTTAGATTTTGTGAAATTTTTGAAATAATTTCGATTCGACGAAGAAAAAAAAAAAGAAAGAAAAAATGAGCTATTGCAAAAGAATGTCAACAATGATCTATTAGGCAGAGTGATCGAATGGCGCCGACCTCAAATCGGGAACTTATACCGGTTAGTATGTATCCGTTTTTTTGTATTTTGTATTTTCTTAAAATGATAAAATAAAAATTTAAATTTTAATGTTTATAATCAATTCATGGTGAAAATTTCCTCATTTTTAAATTAATTATTATTAATTTTTGCTATCAATTAAATTATTAATTAATATTAATAAATCGCATTGGTTACATTTCATTTAAATTGAAACATCTTACATAAATTGATTATTATTAACTAATTTTTTATTATTAATCTGTGCTATTATTAGCTACCATTTTTTAATTATTAAATTTAACTAATTTTAAAGTAATTCAAAATATTTTAGAAAAAAAAAATGATGTTTAAAGGATATATTTCTAATATTTTACATTTTACTATGACAGGAGTATATATATCACTAATATTTTATTAGAAATTGACATATGGAAAATAAAAATAAAATTTTCAATGGTATTCTGATAAATTGTATGTAAATTGATATTGATGTTAATTTAATATCTTTCATTTTATCATTTATCCGTTCATATCTAACTAACACACATAGAGAAAATGTGTAAATTAGCATTAAGTTACAATAATTTTAGGAAAATTTCCTCATTTAATCAAATATTAAATTTTGTTAATTAATTAGCATAAATAGAATAAACAAAAAAAAAAAAAAAAAAAAGGCTTACATTGTTTATAAATTTTACATTTTTTTTTTTTTGGCTTAATTTTAGCTTTTTGGAATATTTTCACAAATTTTTATCAGTATTTAAGCTAACATCTGATAATAATCAACTATCAATTTTGTTATTATGATAGTTTGAAATTTTTGGTTTAAAAGTACCCCGTGGGAGTAGCATAGATGCATCGATGATACATGTAAATAAAACATTTTTAAAACTGAGAAAAGAAGAATGTTTGAATTTCGATTAGCATAACTTATTTTAAATGATCACTTTTTCTTTTTTCTTCAATTAAATCATTTTTGTTTTTTTTTTTTTTTTTTGTTTTCTATTTTTTTGTTAATTCATTTGGGAATAACTACAAAGTACTTTAGTTTTGATTTCTCTCTTTTTTTTTTTTTTTATAATTTCTATTTTTAAAATGATACTAACATTTCATACATACAATTTCTTGCAGTCTTATAAAGTTTTATTTTTATTTAAATATAAATATTAAAATTTGAAAAGTTTGTTTTCGTATATTTTTCGTCTTCTTTCTTCTGTCCTTTGGTATAGCAAATTTCTGAAAATAGAATTAAAAATTTTAATTAATTACTTATTTAAAAAGTGCCAAATTTTATGACTCAAATTTTTGTTTTGTTTTAGTTAAATAACTCAAATATTTTTTTGCAATTTTTTCATATTTTCTATTATTATATTAGCTTATTTTAAATTGTACCAAACAAAAGATATAAAAAATTTAAAAGTGTTATAAAATTTGAAACAATTAAATTTGAATACATTTGATATAAGTGAGGAAAAATTATAATTTTGTTTAAAATTATAATTTTTTTTTTATATAATTTTCCTGTCTTCTTGCTATTTTGTATACTAAAATTTTAACAATAGATTTGTTTTAAATTGGCTTTATTTATTTATATTCATCAATTTTATTCATTTATAAATTTTTTATCAACTATAATTCACTTTGAAATTTAATTTAAAAAAAGTTTTTTTTTCCAATTTTTGTTTACAAATTTCAATTTCAAATTATTTTTTTATTTTCTCTTTCCTTTTTGCCTCAAAATAATAATTTATAAAATTGATAAAATAGTTAACTGAATATTAGCTTACCGGAAGTACATCTTTATCGAAGATGGTATGATTCATTGAAATGCTACTTTAATGTATCCCACTAATTTACGTCTTCGGAATTTGTAAAAGTTAATTTTAGGGAACAGCTGTCGATTTCGACTAGTCAACCAAATATTTTATATTTGTGTTCCTAAGTGCTTATGTACCTAAGAAAAGATTGAAATTAAAATATGTTTAATACATTTTAATTTTAAAACATTTCCTATTTGTCGAAATGTTTTAAAATTTTTTCAAATAAAAATTAAAAAAAAAAAGGACTAAAATTTTTATATTTTGTATTTTTATATGTTTTTTTTTTACAAAATTTTTATATTTTGTACTTATTTTTAATAAGTGTCAATTTAAATTCTTCATTTGTTCCCTTTTTATTTTTTATAAGTAACAATTAATTGGATAAGTTTTTTTTTCTTTTTTTTTTGTTGTTTTTTTATTTTTATCTTTTATTTTATGTGACAATTTAGTTGACTTTTAATATTCAATGTTATTATTTTGAGTGTTATCATATCGTTGATTAATTTTATCAATTAATTTTATCAATTAATTCATATAAAATACAAAAAAAAAAGTGCATCTATTGAAATTAATCAAAAAATAAAGGTGAAAATTTTGAACTTTCAACTTCTTACATTTGAAATTTTTTAAAAAAAAAATTAGGAAAAACTAGAAACTTTCAAAAAAATTTTTAACTTAAATTTTCTAGGAGAAAAAACAACAACAAAATTTTGATGGAATAATTGAATAAAATTTGTTTAATTTATAAAATTATAGCTTAATTAATTGATGTTTTAATATTACAGATGATAGTGTACATTATTAAGTGCTAATATAAATTATTTGAATTTATTGGCAGAAATATTTCAAAATGTAAATTCTGAATTTGTAATTAAATTACAAAATGAAATGGATGAAATCTAATTTAATGTAAAGTATTAAATTAAAATTTGCAAAGAATTTCATTGAGCAAAGTGAAGAAAGAGAATTAGGAATGAAATGAATGAATTGAATAATGTATTTTTGCATTTTATGAGTAAATCAATTCTAATGAATTTATGATTTAAATAATTGTTGTTAAAATTAATGAGAAAATTAAATAGGAAAAAATTGAAAAGCTGATAAGCTAAAATGATAATTTAATTTTAATCAATAAATGATAATCAGTATTTTCGATTAATAAATGACAACAATCAATTTTTTTTAAATCAATAAATAACATCAATTTCAATATTAATTTCAACAATTTTAATCAATAAATGATAAACAAACAATTAAGATATGCTTAATTTAGAACTGATATTAACTTCTAAAACAATCATTTTTATTATTTTAGTTATTTCTCAAATTTCAGATTAATTTCGCCCAAATTTTTTAATTATAAAAATTTTTCAAAAGTGACAAGCAAAAAAGAAAAAAAAAGGAAAAAAAAAATTGGTTTTTATAAAAAAAAATCAATAATGGTAATAATTAAAATAATTTAGCATTATTAGCTATAAAATATTACGGTGAGTTATTCTAAAAAATATTTACAAAATAATTTAATAATGATTTTCGTTTTTTTTTTTACTTTTAAAAAGTTTATTTAATATATGTAAAATAAACGATAAAATCACTTTTTAAGTAACATATGCTAACTTTTTCTTTTTTTATAGACAAACAATTGTTAATTAAATTTAAATTTAAAAAATCTTTTAAAAAATAGCCATTTCTTTTTACTTTTTTTCTCTCTTTGATAAATTCTAAATAAACTTTTATAAGTATTTATCAAAAAAAAAAAAGGAAATTTCATAATTAAAAAATAGAAAAATTTGTGAAATATTTTGTGTGACAAATTTTTGTCTCATTTCTCGTTTTTTTCCTTTTTTTTAAAAAAAAAAGTTTCTGTTTTTGAAAATTTATAATAAGTGAAAAAAAAAAATGTTATATACATAAATAAAAAGTTAAAACTTTTTATTTATGAATAATTATTAATTTGATGTTGAATTCTGATAAAAAAGCAAAAAAAAAAAAAAAAGATTTTATATATACTAAAAAGTTAAACTTTTCATTCAGAAATAATTATCAATTTGATATCTGAATTCTCGGCAAAAAAGATTTTATACATATTGTGATAAAAAATAATATATAACCATATATTATCCTTATGTAACGTTATATCATTGATATGTGACCTTATATCATTCTAATGTAGCATTGTATGATTAAAATGTGACCTTATATCAACTTTATCTCACCTTCTATAATCAAAATGTACCTTATATCACCTTTATGTCACATTATATAATCAAAATGTGACCTTATATCACCTCGATGTCACCTTATAAATTAAAATGTGATCTTATATCACCTCGATGTCACCTTATAAATTAAAATGTGATCTTATATCACCTCGATGTCACCTTATAAATTAAAATGTGATCTTATATCACCTCGATGTCACCTTATAAATTAAAATGTGATCTTATATCACCTCGATGTCACCTTATAAATTAAAATGTGATCTTATATCACCTCGATGTCACCTTATAAATTATAATGTGATCTTATATCACCTCGATGTCACCTTATAAATTAAAATGTGATCTTATATCACCTCGATGTCACCTTATAAATTAAAATGTGATCTTATATCAGTAATATATGACTCTGTATCATCCTTATGTCACTAATATGTGACCTTTTATCACTTTTATGTCACATTATATAATCAAAATGTGACCTTATATCACCTCCATGTTACCATATATAATTAAAATGCGGCCTTATATCATTAGTAGTAACTTGTTATCATTAATATATCACCTTGTACCATCATTATCACCCTTATCTAACCTTATATCATCTTACTTACTATACACTTCAAAGTGTTAAGTAATAGTGAAAGATGATTCATTATGCTTTTATGTGTAATCATCATTACATGAGCATTTTGAAAATTCAATTAGTTCCATGTCGCATTCATAATTATGCATTTGTCATCCATCTATTCTTTCCTGTCAACTGCTAGCTAATTTTGCTTCATCTTCACTTCGTCATCATTTTTCATTTTTCATCCAAACTGTATCGAACGAAATATTTCTGTGAAATAATCAACAAACTATTTTTCGAACTTTTACCAATTTTTCTTCATCATTAATTACTATTTACCTTTTTCTTTTCTTCTTTTTTTTTTTTTTTTTGCATTAATATTTCATTTTGAATTGAAAAACAGATGAAACGAATGAAAAAATCTTGTGGGAAATATTTGCTACAACAATCACATCAATATAATAAATATGTCAAGGTTAGTATTAGTTAAATTATATTTTATAAATTTTATGCTAAAATTAATGTCAAAATTAACATTTTAAAATGTTAATGAGAAAATGTAAGAGAAAAAAAAATGAGAAAAATTTTAAAAAAAAAAAGAAAGAAATAGTAATAATAATTTTTTTTTTTTTTTTTAATATTAAAACAAATAGAAATGTTTATCGAAAAAAAAAAAAAAATGATTTTTACTTGATGCAGATTTTTATACAAAAATTAAAAAATTGTTATAAGTTTGAATAATGAGATTGGATTTTGATAAAATAGTTTTAAACAGTCATAAAATTATGAATTTTTTAAGTTTTATTTATTTTTTTTTTAACTCATAAATTTATATTAATATAATGTTTATTGAAATATATTAAAATTAAAAATTTCATTTAAAATTGAAATTTTTTTTGCTGAGAAAAAAATTTATTAAGTTGTTAATTTATTAATTTTAAAGTTTTTTTTTTTTTTTTTTTTGAAAAATTACTATTAATCATAATTAAATAATCAAAGTTATACTAACACATCGCTAAAAGGAACAAAGAAAAAAGAATTGTGATCAAACAAATAAATTATTTTTGATATTTAAAATTAATATTATTTCATCGTGCAAAGAGCAACTGACGCAATTTCATTGAAGCATTCATAAAGCTTAAATAATGACCAGATGCGCCTGCTTACCTAATTAATTCTTTCAAAATTTTATGATAATTAATTTTATCAATTTTGACCAAAAATTTTGCCAATATTATAAATTATATTTATTGCTTATTTTCAAACATATTATCTAGCTTTTTAGCTAAATTTTTTAGCTAAAATTAATTAATTAATTAAAAATCATTTTGTTTGCTTTCTTCTTTTAAATTAATTAATTGATAAACTGTGTGAAATTTGCAATAAATTTTAGAATTATAATTACTTCTAAATGAAATATTAATATAAATAAATAGAAACGTATCTTCTGGGAGGTAGTGCATATGACAAATTTAATTATATAAGTTTTCAGTAAAACAAAACTTTTTTTCTCGATTGAAGAAGTGCTATTAATAAAAGTTCATATGACTACTTTAAGTTTAAATTTTGTATTTAAATTTTGAAGCATTAATTTAAATAATTTTCTTATATATTTAAATATATAATTCGGTATTTCATTTTACTTTCATCAAAATTCAGTATTAACCTTTCAGTTTCCTTCGTTTTTTATTTTTATGAAATTTTGTTTAATTTGTCGCTGTTATCTTTTCTTTGAATGTTTCGCATTTTAAAACAAAAAAAAAAAAAAAAAAAATGAATAAAAGATCTTTTCTTAGATATGAAAAATTGATTTAAGTACAACGATAATGAAATAAACAGTATAAAATACTAATTGAAAATAAGCATTTTAATATTAAATTTAACTATTCAAAAATAAATTATAAAATTGAAAAAATGTTATAAATATATTATTTCATATTTTTTTTATTACTTAAAATTCCAAACAAATCTTCTTTCTTTTTTGGATAAACAAAACTTTTATATTTTGCTAATTTCAAAATTAGTAAACGCTAAAAACAAAATTTTAATACCTTGATTATGTTTTAAAAAAAAAAAAATTATATAAATTACCCAAATATTTGAAATAGTCAATTTCATTTTACTGAAATTAAAAAATGAAATAAATTTTTGCATTTCTCGGTTTATTTTCAATTTTTGATGCAATCGAAAATGATTTAATAGTCCAAAAATTTGATGATAGGACAACTTTTTTTGTCACATTAGCTTATCAATTAGATTTAAGATTTTGATAAAGATTTCGATTCCAGTTTTTCGATCATTAATTTCTTTTTTTTTTCGATCATCATTTTCTTTTATCTTTGACAGCAATGCCATGAATAATTGCTTGTAAATTGTAATATTTGAAGAAAAATATTCTTGCAACACTAACTTATTTCAACTATCTTTTTTTTTTTTTTGCTTTTAAAATTATTTCAAAAACTTCAAAATACCATTTAATATTATTAATTAAGTAATTGTGTACTATGTGAAATGATAATTAAGTATTATTATAATTCAAACTAACTAAAATTTATTAAAAAATGATAATTGAACTGCTAATGACAGTACAAATTTTATATTTATTATTGTTATTAGCTAAATTGTTTTCAATGATTGATAGAAAATAAACAATAATTCTTACTAAAATGCTTGTTTTCCCTTTTTTTTTTTTTTTTTGTTTATGAAAACAAATAGGTAAGAATTAATGAAAAAATGAATTAGAATTTTTCTTATTTGATTATATACATTTTGAATTTTATCATTTCAAACATAAATTTAATTTTTTTGAATATAAAATGGGAATATGTTTATTAGCTAAGAATTGTTATTGTTATGGCTTTTTAGTTACATTTATTATTAGCATAATATTTTTAGAGTTATCCTATTCACATATATTTGTCAGTAAATAAGTTAAGGTCATACTAATTGTTATTAGCTAAGTTAAGGTCATACTATTAAGTAAATTTGTTATTAGCTGAGTATTGTTGTGGTGCCATTTAATCATGCTTGTTATTAACTAAACATTGTTAAGGTTAATGTTAGGGTTAAATCATTTACTTATATTTGTTAATAACTAATTTAAGGTCATGCTAATTATTGTTAGCTAAGTTAAGGCCATACTATTTAACTATATTTGTTATTAGCTGACTATTGTTAAGCTTGTTATTAGCTGAACATTATTAAAGTTAATGTTAGGGTTATGTCATTTACTTATATTTGTTAATAGCTAACCTAAGGTCATCATGCTATTTAGGTTAGCTATATTTGTTATTAGCTAAGTACTATTAAGATAAGGTCATATTATTTACTTATATTTGTTGGTTAATATAATTTGAAAGATTGATTAATGAAAAAAAATAAAAAGGTAAACAATTACAAATGTTATTTATGCAATGAGTAATCATAGATACATTTTAATTGGATAGTAATTAAGTCTCTTCAAAATGCTAATTAATAGCAATGGCTTACATTTAATGAATTTGTATTTGTATTTTATATGCACTCTGCTCAACAATTCAATAATAATATTATTTGCAATTAGTTTACTCTACCAATTTCATTTCCAATATGAGTAACAATTTGAAATGAAATAAAATTTATTCAAAGAATATCACAAAATACTTTTTTTTTTCATTTAATTTGATCATTATTATTTAAAAAATCAAATTATTTAAAAATTTGAATGTTTTCTAATTATTTAAAAAGTTTGTTTAAATGAAAATAACAATTTAAAAATTAAGAAAAAAACAGAAAAATGCAAAATAAAATGTAATAAAAAAAAAACAGTAAGCAATTGGAGAATGAAAAGAATGAAGAAATATTCGATTAATTAATTTTTATTAATTTTAAGATTAATTAATTAATTTTTAAGTTAAAAATAGGAATCATTTATTTTTGGAAGAAACAAACAAAAACAAAAACAAAAAAAAAAAAAAAAATGACAGAAATGTTAATGAAATTTGCTAAATAAAATAAAACTAAAATTACGAACTTATTGCTGCTCAAATAAAAAAATAGTAATAAAAAAAAAATTCTTTTTTAAATTCAATGATTTTAAAATTAATAAATTTTGAAAAAAAAAAATGAAAACAGTATTAACGACAAAAAATTAGCATATTGATATTATAAGATATTATTTATCTATGTAATATAATTTTATACGATTTAACAAAATGTTAGCAAATGTTCAGAATATATAATATTATCATTAAATGATCTTTTAGTTTTTAAAATTTTGATTGATAAATTTAATCATTGATAATATAACAATATCATATAGCAAATTTTATTTACCTTCGCAAAAAAACAAAAAATTGAATTTTAAATAATTTGCTGAAAAAAATTTTATTCATTACCATTTTCATATTTTATAGTTTTTCTTTTCTTTTTTTTTTTTTCTTCTAAATTTTTTTTTTTTTTAAATTTTTAAAATTTTAACAATGAAAATTTTTTGAAACTTTTGAATGAAGAAATGTTAATTTTGAAAATTTTTTAAATAAAATTTAATTATAGATTTATACGGATTGGGCAAATCGACATTTGATACGATTTGGAACAGAACCGATCAATGATCTTACGAGTGATTTACGTGAACCAAAAAAACTTGTCACACTTTTGCAAGCAATTAGTTAGTATTTAATAATTTTATTAAAATTAAAAAAACAAAAAAAAAAAAAAAAGAAAAGAAATTAAAAATTGTTTTTCTTCATTTAAATGTTTAATTTTTATATATGAAAAATGATAAGTTAATGAATAAACTTATACAATTCAATGATAATTGTATAAATTTAATCAAAATTTTAAGCAAAATTTAATAAATTATTAGATTTTATTTCCGAAAAAAAAAAATTTTAAATTATAAGCGTTGAAAATTGTTAATTTTTTTTAAAAAAAAAACTGCAAAATAACATGTTAATTTACATTTGTAAGTTAATCAATTCTGATTAATTTTCACAATTTCTTCTAAATAATTTTGCAAATAACCCATTTTTCAAAATTTGTAATTTAACGCTTCAACAAATCAAATGAACCAATTGTGATGATTTAATTTAAATTTAAATTAGTTCATCTTATTTTAATTTTATAGTTAAATTTGCTTTCTAATCTTTGTGCACAATAATATGCATTGGTTTTTTTTTTTTTTTTTTTTTTAAATAATTCAATTTGGTACTACCTGTAATTGAAATATATTTTATGCTAAATTAATTTTCACTCTTTTTTAATTTTAATTTTTAATACTTTTAGCTCTTAAATTTGATGTGCATTATATTAATTAATTAATTTTTCATTTCAAAAATTTGCTTCGATTTTCTGAAAAAAATTTTAAATATTTAATAAAATAATAATGCATAAATCTGTAATCAAATATAATTTTATAATATTTTAATTCAAATATAATTTTTTTTTATAATAATAAATAAATAATCAAATATAATTTTATAATAATAAATAAATGATTGACATTTTTTGAATAAAACATCCTAAAATTATAAATTTTTTCACATTGAAAATACAGATTTTTTCACATTTTATGAAATTTATAAGATTTATTTATTTTTAAATTTATTAAATAAATTAAATTTTATGATTACTGTCTTTAAATATTTCTATGGTAAATTATTTTAACTTGTCAAAAAAAAAAATTTAATTAAAATAAAATTTTCAAAAAGTTTTATTTTTTATTTCTTTCCTTCTTTTTGCTTATTTTTTTTTTAATAAAAGCATAAATTGTAAAAAATCCATTTTAAATAAAATTTTTAAAATAAACTAAAAACTGTAATTATTTTCTAAAAAATTGTAATTTTGTTGTCTTTTCTGAAAATTTTACAAAAAAATATTAAAGATTATTGCAAATTCAAATTTTAAAAATTTTTTTCTTTTTGCTGAATTTTTTTTGCACAAATATTTTTTGAGCTAATAAAAAATTAAAATTAATATTTTAGCATTTGATTGTGTTCCTTCTGCTGAAGAACGAATTAGCACAGCAATTGATGGACACATTGAATCGGTTTGAATTTCTAACTTTTTTTTTTTAAATTTTGTTATTTTTTTTTTTTTTTGAAAAAATTTTAATGAATTTTAATAAAATAATAAATTATTAAAAATATTTTCATTATTACTATTTATATGTTTTAAAATATTTCATAAAATAAATCATAAAGGATGGTAGAAAAATGTTTAAAAAGATGGAAAAAAATAAAAAGTTTAAATGATTTTATAAAAAATGAAAAACTATTAATTAAATAATAAAGAAAATATTAATTAATAAAAAAATTTCTGAAAAATAAATAACTCATAAAATTATAAATTGTTTAAAAATAATTTCATTTCTTGCTAATTAATATAATTTGAAATATTTTATAAAATAAATCATTCAAAAAAAAATTTTTTCATTTCGTTTTTTTAAACTCTATGAAAAAATTAAAGAGTCACACAGAAATAAATTGAAATTAATGCTTAATTATTATTTAATATATACTAGGAAAAAAAAAAAACAAAAATTTAAAAAAACTTCTTTACTGGAATTTTCTAATTACATTTTACCTGTTAATTAATTAATTAAATTCTCAATTACAGCTACAAATAACTAAAAAGAATTGTTTTTTTTTTCCTTTATTTTTTAAAAAAAAACAAAATTGAAATTTTAAGCGAATTGTTATTTTCAATAAAAAAAATTTTAACAATGCATAAAATTAAATCAAAATTTGTGTAACTTTCAAATAGCTAAACAATTTATTAAAATAATAAATATATTTTTGCTTTTTTCTTTTCTCTTTTTTTTTTCAAAATTATTTTTTTCTTTTTAATTCTAAGATAGAATGAATGATAAGCAAATGGTGGGACGGACACCTGTTGCGTCCTTTTCTCAAACTTTTTTCTTTTCCTATTGGTTTCACTTTTTTTTTTTTTTTTTTTTTTTTTGATCGGGGCGCTAAAATCAATGGCGCTGATATCATTACATTTTATGGTTTGTAAATAATATTATAAATGTAAATTTGTGTAAACAAAATGTTTTCTTTTTTTTTTCTCTTATAGCTTTGAGTTAAAAATAAAATTTTTCGGCATCATTTATCTTTCATATTTTATTAATATTATATTGTAATATTATTTAAATAAATAATTCAAGTATATAAGGTTTTAATTTATTTTTATAAACTTTTTTTTTCCTTACAAAAAATATTAAAAATTTATTTAAATTTGAAGAAACATTCGATTTAAATTTTATTTATACAACATATTGTTAATATAAATTTAGCTTTTCGTTATTCTTTTTCAATCAATTTTTGCTTTTTGTTAATAAAATTTAAGTTTGTTTGAAAATGCATTTAAATTTAGGAAAATTTTAGCATGAAATAGCTAAGTGAAATTTATTTAAGAATTACTTTTTTCTACAATTATAATTTTATAATTATTATTATCAGTTAAGCAATGCTATGCTTATTTCATATTATTAATAAAATTTAAATTTAGTGAAATTTTCATCTTATATTCATTGAAATGGAGCAATATTACCACTCAATCAATTTTATAAGTGAATGAAATGACACATTATGATATCAGTGATAATAAATTATCACTGATTTACTTAATTTAAAATTTAAAATTGTATAAATTGTGAATTGAGATTTGAAATGAAATAAGCGATTATTTACTCAAAAAAAAAAAAAAAAAAAAAATTATTACTACATTTCAAATTCATTGTATCTAAAAAAAAATGACTAAATAATTTGGGTAAATTCTTTTTTCCTTTTTTCCTTAATATTAGATTTTTTAAAATTAAATTTTTGAACCTCTAAATATTTTAGTTTTTAAGTAATTAATTAAAATCCTTTCATTTTATTCAAATATAAGCATTCAATTTATATGCTCAATTCAGTTTCATTTATTTTTCTTTTTCTATTTTAACTGTTAAATTTTTAATTTTAATGTTTCATAAAAAATGAAAATAAATTAATTAAGAGTTAAATTTTAAATTCGTTTAGTTCTCTCTCTCTCTCTTTTTAAAAATTAAACTTTTTTTCTTTCATTTCGAATAAATAAAGAGAAAAAAAAAAGAATGAAAATTTTAAACTAAAAAGTTATATTACAAAAATTTTTTTTATTACATTTTAACAATTGCAAATAGCTTTCAGTTAAAGATAACAATTGTTAAGTGAATATTTCACTGATAATAAATTAGTCGGAAATTCAACTTTAACACTTAAATCTTATCTCTTTCAATTTCATCTTTCTTCACTCTGTGGTCATTTTTGCTAATAGCTACTTTAATATCACTTCAAAATTCTTTTCTAAAATTACTTTTAAATCTTTTATTTAGTAAATTTTAAATTACAGTTGAAATTACAATTGCTATTGTTGCGCATGCGCATTTGTCCATCTGCTTTTTTTTACTTCTGTGCATTATGAATTATTGTGAAAAAAGAAATTTTGAAGAGAAAAATTTTCATTTATTAATTAGAATTTTTAACATTAAAATTTTGATAACTAAATGATTTCAGATATGAAAATTTATTCCTTTTCATACTTGAATGAATAATTTAATTTAATTTTTAATTATTGAAAACCTAGTTTGTAATAATTATTGTAATAATTATATTGTCTGATTTAATTTAATCACTTAATTTGTAATAACTATTAGTAAAAAGAAAATAAGACTCATTTTCTGTAGAATTAAAAAACGAATTTACTTATTTATTTTAAATTAAATAATTTGTTGGTTTGTTAATTTCTGAAACAAATAGGTCGCAGATTTACATAAAAAAGAATTAATTGAAATTTTGTGAAATTTTAACAAATGTAAAAAAAAATTGCCATTTTTTTAGAAATTAAATTAAAAAAGATAGCACATTTTGATTAATACTGAAAAAGTTAATAAATAAATTAGACAACAAATAATATAAATTAATAATTAAATCAGATAATATGAATTAGAAATTAAAAGTGATAATTTTAATAAAATTGAATTCTAAAATTTTTTATTTCCTATAATATTTCAAGTATAGCTGGGAAGCAACAGCAATTTTAATGTAAATATAAATTCATATATTTATATTTTAATTAATAAACAATTAAATCTAGATTATATAATTCTAGTTGAGTTTGTGTTATGGAAAAAGGAATTGAATTACTTAATTATTTTTCGTTCTGCGAGTTTTTTTTAATCTTTTTCTTTTTTTTTTTTTTTTTTTATAAAGCATTTCTTGCTATTTTAATAATAAATGAATCGTTTTCGTCATATTAAACAATTTAATTTTAATTTTCGGTTAATTTGAAATTTTAACTAGAAGAGACCACTTTCAATTAATTTTAATGAAAATTTCAATGAGAAATATCTTTTCTCGCAAATATTTTAGTAAAATAAATTGTGGCATTTTAATTGCCTTTAGGCACTCACAATTGTATTTCAATCTTTTATTATTATTTGAAATTATCATTTTGCTATAACTCTTTGCACATTTATATATTTAATCATTTTATTTAGTATAAATGTAATTAATTAATTATTTTTTTTTTTGTGTTTTTTTAATTAGTTTAAAGAAAAAACATAAACAAAAATTGTTGAAGCATTACATTTTGCTTATTTTTATCTAAAAGAAATGAGAAAAATACAATTTATATAATTTTGTTCAGTAAAAATTAATAAATTAATTATTTCAACAAAATGTAATAAAATTAATTATTTTTAATTCAGTGCTAAAGTCCAAAACATTTTGATTCTCTTTCTTCCTTTTTCTAAAAATAATATTAGTAAAAAAAGAAAAAATTCTAAAATTAAACTTTGCAAAATATGAAGTTAAAAAAAAATGAAATGAAATTAAAAAAAAAAAAAATTGTTGAAAAGATTGACTCATCAATTCATCAAATCATTCGTACATTTTTTAATTTTATGCATCATTAAGCTAACCTTCCTTATCTATCGATGATGTCATTTTCAGCTTTTTTTTTTTTGTGAAATTTTTTTTTTTTGAAAAAAATTTTCGTTTATTATTCATTTTTTCTTTTAAATTGCTGAAAAATGACAAAATTTTATTGAAATTTACTAAATTTTTATATATAATATTAATTGTATATAATTTTGAAATATAAATTCAAAATTATTAAAGTTACTAAATTTTTATATATAATATTAATTGTATATAATTTTGAGATATAAATTCAAAACTTATTAAAAGTTACTAAATTTTTATATATAATATTAATTGTACACAATTTTAAGTTATAATTTGAAATTTATTAAATTTTTATATGTAATATTAATTGCATATAATTTTAAGATATATTTTGAAATTTATTGAAATGCACTAAATTTTTATATGTAATATTAATTATATATAATTTTATAATTATAATTTTGTTTAAAAAATTGAAATGATATATTTTTAAAATAATTTTTGCAAAATTTTAATAATTTTTAATTTTAAAATAATTTTTACAAAATTTTCATAATTTTTTATTTTTATATATTATATTCTTAATCATTCATTTGTTATTCACATTTCATGCCAATCAATTTTGAATTAAATTTAACAAAAGGAGGAAAAAATGTGTGAAAATCCTTATTAACTAAAATTTTGTCAATTAAATTTGACAAAAAAAAAAAAAAAAATGAAAAAATGAGCAGAAGTAAATAATAAATTTTAAAACTTTAATTAATCAATTTCAATTAATTAATTTTTTATTATTTTTTTCCCAAATTATAAATGTAAAATTAAAAAATAATTTAGCCGAATGACTTATCAGTGTACATTAATTTAGACTTTCATAATTTATTTGAACAAATAATACAAAATTATAATTTTCATTTTTATTAATACTGAAATATGGCAATAATACAATTTAAATAAATGTATTATTATTTTATTAAAATTAATTAAATACTATTCTAATTTAATTTATTCATTTCTAGATAGAAATTATTGGTGGATGTTTGCAATTTGTTGAATCGTTGAATATTGATGTATCTAAAGTTACAGCAAATGGTAAGTTCAATAAATAGTTTAAATAATTTCATCTTTGTTTCCTTTTCTTTTTTCAATTAGTAATTTTAAGTTTAATATTTTTTGATTATAAAATTTTTTATTTCCATTTTATGCTTTCAATAAATTTGTTAAAAAAAAAATTTTTCAAATAATTTATGTAAAAAAATATTATAACAATTAATTAGCTATTCTGTTTTAGAATCAAACATTTCTCTTCAAAAATTTCAAATTAAAATATGATAAACTAATTTATCATTTGATCATTTTGAATAATTAATTTAAAATTTGAAAAAATAAAATCTTAAAACAATTGATGCAATTACTTATTTTACTGCAACTTTCTTTTTCTTTTTCAAAAATTTAGTACAATTAAACAAATTATTAATTAACTGCCATAATTATAATCAAAATTATAGTTTTATATATAATATTTTGTTAATTGTTGCAAATATTTTATAATTTTTAAATTCATTGAAAAAAATAGAAAAGAAAATTGTTTAAATTAAAATTTCGAATTTTTTATTCATTCGTTGATTACGTAACTTTTTACTACAATTATTATACAAAATTATATAAATTAATACAAATTTAATTACCTTCTTTTTATAAAAAATTAATTATACAAAAATTTATTTTCCTTTTTTTTTTTTTTGTTTATTTTATTTTACAAATAATAGTAATAGTAGAAATTATTTGATAAATTATTTTAAATTATCTGAAGCAAATATGTTGCCAAAACGATAAAATGAAATATTGTAAAATTGATTATTAATTTTTATGGTACTAAAACATTTTAAGCAAAAATATTTCTGTCATATCAATGTCACACATATTTGCATTAATTCATTTTAAATTCTTTCAAATATATTTTTTAATTGAAATTTATTTAAAATTATATTTTATTTATTTTTTCATTCGTAAATTTATCATACACAAAAATATTTATCAAATAAAAAAAAAAAAAAAAAAGCACAGTGAAAAAATGTAAAAAGATTGAAAAGTTTAATAAAATCATTTTTGCTTTTAAATTTATAAATTATTTTCTTAAGAAAAAAGAAGGAAAGAAAAAGTGAAAATTGTGATTAATTCAATTTAATTTCATTTAAAGCATAAAAATTTCAATTTTTTTTTTTTTTTGAAATTTATTTAGAGAGAAAAAAAGAAGCAAAAAAGGAAGCGAAAAGAATTTATAGAATTTCAATTTCTTTGAATAAATTTTTTTTTTTTGAAATTTAAACCAATAGGAAAAGATACTAATATTTGAGTTTATCGTTCCTTAGTCGTTACTAAGGATTGAATTTCAAAAAGTTTTTTTTTTTCTTTTTTAATATGTATTTTTACTTTTTACAACTTAATTTAAAAGTTTTTAAAAAAGTAATAAAATGGAATTAATTACTAATTCAAATATAAAATTTGAAGCAAAAATTTGTCTGTTAAATTGATTTTTTTTCTTTTTTTTTTGACTTTTAATGTTTGAATAAATGTCAAATTTTTGTCTAAAAAAAAAAAAAAAAAAAGAAAAAAATGAAATGAAGAAAATTTGCATTGAAAAAAAAAAATTTATAATTCAATCAGAAAACAAATTTTTTTTTTTCCAATATCATAAAACAGTGTTTGTTGAATAAGTATGAAAAAGTTAAAATATTTCATACATACAATAAATTTTTTCCTTTCATTATATTTCCGATAAAAAAAATAATAATAAAATTACAGAAAAAAAATTGGTGACATTTTTTAAAGTTTAATGAAAATTATAAAAAAAAGTTTGATAGTCCAAATTAAAGTTTTATTGATAAAATTATAAAAAAGGTTTGGTGACATTTTTTAAAGTTTAATGATAATTACAAAAGAACAAAAGTTTGGTAACCATTTTATATATATAAAGTTTTTTTTAATTTATAATTTAATTAAAAAAAAAAATGGGAAATGAGGGAAAAAAAAGAGAAGTAAAAATGAATATAAAATTAAAGACAAAAGATCTTTTGAAGTTGACTGTGACAGTAAACAGATGTGAAAAGGATTAGCCTAAATAAATTCCCATGAGGAATTTACCCATGTGGGTAAATTGATCTTCCAACAATTCATCCATTTATGATTATTTCTTAAATTGTCAAATTAATCGTTTACAGTTTAGTTTGATAGTTAGTAGCATTGAGAGAAAACTGTTTGTTTACATCCTTTTCTCTCGCTCTCTCCCTCAATTCAGGGTTATTTTCCAAAGGAATTGTTAAACGATATCAATTTTATCATTAAAATTATCATTTCTAACATTTCAATAAGGCTAAATGCTTCACATAAAAATCACATTAAATTAGATTAGATCAGATCAAATCAAATCGGAACAGATCTATTTTTTTTTTTTTTTAAATATTTGTTTACATGTTTGTTTTCTTTTTGCATTCCATTCTTCTTCCATTTCACTCTTTCTTTTTCAATGGCTAAATTTATTTATACATAATTTGTTTACATCCTTTCCTCTAATAAATATAAATAGTAATAATAATAATTATTATTACCATATATAATTAAACTTAAAAATTTTCTATTTATCTAAAAAAAAAAGAAATTTTAAAACTAGAAAATATATAAATATAATATATTTATACTTTTTCATACTAAAATTAATTATAGTAAAAATTATTGTTAATAAGTATAAATAGCAATAATAATAATAATCAGAAAACACAATTTTTATTATTTTAAATTATTTACGCGTTATTTTTTCTTTTGTTTTGAGCGAAAATATTTTCATCCATGGATATTTTAATGTAATTTAATTAATACGAAATTAATTATTTAATCATAAATAGTTTAATTTGTTTTTGTTTAATAATAAATGATTAAATTATGAAATGAAATGCTTTTTATTGATTTCATATAAAACTGAAATAAAATGACATTGTTGACAGATTGTTTATCAGTTTAATTTTTTTTTTTAAAAAAAAAAAATCAATTATAGAAATTAGATGAAATTGAATTTTCATTTTATTTCATTAAATTTCTATCGAAATTTTCAAAGCTTTTATTGTCACAGTATAAACTGATCATTTGAAATGCTATTGTAATTAATTACTAATTTATTGTTTGTAAAATTTCATTTTCAAATTAATCCATTTAATTAATTTTGTAGTAAGCATTAAAAAAGATTGTTTATATTTTTAAATTGGAAACGAACGAATACAAATAAATATTAATTAAGTATAAGCTGATTGTATAAGTAAGTTATAATAAAAATAATTATTAATTAATGTTTGAATATAAATTGAATATTATTAATTAAATAAATATACGATTTTTCATTTTGTTTATATTTTAGAAAAAAAAAAAAAAAAAAGAGAGAAAATAAAATATTAACAAATAATATAACGAAAAATTTGATTTTTATTATTAATTACTTCGTTTTTGTTTTGCTAAATTATTATTAGAAAAAATTTTTCAAATTTTTGCAATTAATTTCAGTTTTTTTTTTTTTTTTTTCTTCAATTCTTTTCCGTTTATTGAATAAATCATTTATTGATATGTCAATTTTCAAAAAAAAAAAAAAAAAAAATTAACAATAATTTAACAAAATTTTTTTTTTTAAGTCTAACCAAAATTGTTTGTATCATTTCGTTGAGAGAACACATTTTCCGTTCTTACTAATGAAATTTGACACTTTGCTAGCTAAATTGATGATTAGTTAGCTTCTTCAAAATCTATCGATAAGCTTTATTTTCTTCTCTCTTTTTTCTTTTTTTTTTTTTTTTTTCATTTACTCATTCAACCTCTCTCTCTCTCTCTCTCAGAAATATTTGAAATTAAACAGATCACAAATGTTTAATCTGAGAAGAAAGCTCCACCGAAATATCTTTTCGGAAAGCTTTATTATCTATTTGATAAGGTGACAAAAAGAAAAATAAATAAATAAATAAAATTTACTCTAAGAAATAATTTGAAATGAAATAATAAAATAATTATTATTAGATAAAATATTAAAATTACAATTATTTATTAATAATTGAAATTATAATTTTTTTTTCTTCCTCATTTTTACAGTGTAAATTTTTGAAAATTTTAATTGAACTCAAAAATTAAATTAGTATTAAAAATGTCACATAAAAAAATATCGCATTCTTTATTTGTTTTTTTTTTTTTTTTTCTTGTAAAATTAACAATTTTACATTTAAAAATATCCCCGTCTGACCACCTTGCTCCTTTCCCCGTCCCCTCCATCCGAGATTTTAAGTTACTAAAATAGCAATCGAATTGAGATTTTACACTAAAGATTGTAATATTTAGCAGTATACTATAATTATTATTTATGCCAATTGGATGGCGACGATGATGACAACAAGGTGACATATGCAAATGCCAAGGTTATCAACACATCAAATCTTTTTACTTTCCCATTTTGGTCAGTGAGCAGAATGATAACGATAATGATAGTGATAGTGATAACAATTCTCTTATTATTACCAATTTTTATCTCTTTTTCTTCCTTTTATCTTTTCGTCATCGAAATTTTTTACAACAATTTTTAATCATTATTTCGCTCAATTTTTTTAAATTTAAATAAAAATTTATTTTCTTTTTCGATTGTACAATTTTTTTCAAATTTATCAGCTTATCTCTTTTTTTTTTATCATTTTTTGAAAATTTTGGATAGAATAATAATAATAACAATTCTCTTATTAACAACTTTTATCTCTTTTATCACTTTATCTTTTCTTTATCGAAATTTTTTTGCAATGATTTTTAATCATTATTTTTTATTATCTTTTTTTTAAAAAAATTTTGAATAATATCATTTGTTTTTGATAATATATCGATAATAGTGATAATATTTTTTATTATTTAAATTTAACTAAACATTTTTTCTTATATAATTTTTTTCAAATTTATTATCTTTTCTTTTTTTTTTCTTTTTTTTTTTGAAAACTTTAATGATTAAAATTCGTTTCGGATGTGAAATGTTAGTTGTTAAATTAATTAAATTTAATTTTTGATATTTCATTTTATCA